TTAGTTCGTTTTATTTACTGAAAAGTTCACCCACCAATCCAACCCTCACCAAGATGTCGGTCACCAAAAACCAGCAAGTAAGTGGACATCCTTACATTACTGCAAGGGATATCGCTAAACGTAACCAAAACCGGTGCGGTACGGTCAGCCGTACTGCACCTAGATCCACGCTGAGTTCGAGCAGTACCGCCAGGGCCGGCTCCAGAATTTCCCAACCAGTCTCGCACTAAAACTATCTAAACATGACTCAACCTGATAATAATAGAAACAGTACAACTACTTCATCATCATACTCCAGTGCACTCCTACAGCAGACTGTCAGCAAAACACCATAAAAAACCAAGCGATTCTCCTAACAGCTGTAGATGGGATAAAAATCCATGATTATATTATTGCAATTGGCTCGATTGTAGGTCCCAAAAATATACTGTTCGCATCAAAAATTGCTAACGGCCGAATCTGTATGTATCTGAGTAACACTGATAGCGTGGACAAAATAATAACTGAACACAAATCCATAAAGATCCAAGACCACGACATCGAAATAAGACGACTTGTTACACCAGCTCAAAGGCTAGTTATTTCAAATGTCTGCCCCTCTGTGCCGAACAACATTATTGAAAGTTCACTAACAACTATGGGCCTGAAGCTACTCTCCCGCATGACTTACCTCCGAGTTGGAATGCCGGAAAATGAATACAATCACATTCTCCGTTTCCGCCGACAAGTAAACCACCTGAATCGTAGAGTCTACCACTATAATCTTTGAGGAAACGACATACAGGATATTTTTCTCCGTAGACGGACCAAGCTGTACTCTTTGCAAGCAAACGGGACATACATTGGAAAAATGCCCCAAATCACAATCCAGAAATGAAGACACCGAAACAAGAATGGAATTAGACTCATCTAATGTACATAACAAAACTAATACATTGAGCTTAAACATGACTGCAACCATACAAGACAACTCTGTATCAGAAGAAACTCGACCTAAACGACAAATCTCAACATCCGCCGTATCTACTAACACCCAGCCTATATTAACTGAAGCCCCACTAACAGAATCAAAATATCAAAAGTTTCTGAGGAATCCTTGGAACCCGCCGAGGAATTCATAAACTCACGGTTTACGTCAACCAAGCTAAACGTATCAGAGGTAGCGGACATGATAGAAAATACATATATATCCAAAGATATAATAGCAACGTTTAGAAACTACACAAATAACATACCGGATATGAACCAGTTTTTGGCTGAACTATACTCACATTTAAAGGATAGGAGCACAAAAATAAAAATTACAAAAATCAGAAAAAAATTAGCGAAACATCTAGAAAACATATCATCGAAAAACAGTGAAGAAAAGGATCTAGAATCATCCGATGGTGAAGTCTCGAGTTCCTCTTCTCAACATGCTAGATATTTTCATGTTTCTAATTCAGTGGAACCTGAACGGGTACTATACCCATAAAGAAGTGCTCAACTTGCTAATACATGAAAATAATCCATATGTAATCTGTCTGCAAGAAACTCACCTCAAGAATGATAATCACAGCCACACACTTAAGAACTACTCTAGCTTTTACAAAAATAGACCAAATCAGGATAGAGCAGCAGGAGGAGTAGCAATATTCACCAAAACCTCTATACAAGCAAAAAGACTTCCCATTACTACAGATCTGGAAGCTGTTGCCGTGTAGATCACATACCACTCAGCCATACATATCTGCAATATATACATACCACACCCAAAAGATGTAGGCTTTAACGCAATAGAGTCTTTGCTGCTACAAATTTCCATGCCCAGAATCATACTAGGAGATCTTAATTGTCATAATATATGCTGGGGATCAGACTTCTCTGAAAGATACGGCATGGAGCTAGAAAACATATTTGACAATATTGGTCTCATACAACTTAATCATCGTCGCAGCACTAGGTTCAATGCTTTCAATGGGAAGTTCTCGTCCATTGATTTATCTTTCTGTGACCCTTCTTTAGCCCCTTTTCTCCACTGGAACCCCCTATATGAACTCTATGATAGTGACCACTATCCTATAACTATTGGCCATAGTAAAGAGGATGCTTCTTGCGCATCCACTACACAAAGATGGAAGTTGAATAAAGCTGATTGGGATAGATACCAACAGCATGTTGAACAACGCTTACCATTACCTCCCACCTGTGAAGACATTAATATCGAGATCAACAGCCTGATTCACGTTATAAAAGATGCCGCTCACATCGCCGTAGGAAAAACGAAAACCTGTAACAGGAAACCAGTCCCATGGTGGAATCAACAAGTCTCTAATGCAATAGCGACCTGCAAACATTGTTTCAATGAAGAAACATAACACAGCCGAAAACTCTGCGAAAATTTAAACAAACTAGAGCAAAAGCCAGATATCATATCAAGAAAAGCAATAAAGAATCCTGGTGAATCTATGTATCCACTATTAACTCGTCTACACCTGCATCGCAAACCTGGAATAAAATCAAGAGCATTAGTGGATCAAAAACAAGCTACGAAATAACCTCTATAAAATACAATAACCAAGTAGCATCTGACAAATCAGCTATCCCAGAAATCTTTGCTGACGTCTACTCAGGACACTCTAGCGAAATCAACTACAGCCCTTGTTTTCTCCAGTACAAGTCACAGGTTGAAGGAGATACTATCACCGTACCGAACGATAACAGTCGTCCAATAAACAGCCTTATTGCAATAGAAGAACTGGAAGCAGCACTAAGAGCATCAAGAAGTACTTCCCCAGGTCCTGACGATATTCCATACTCTTTCTTGAAACACCTCCCATTGACGGCAAAATCAATCTTGATAGACATATACAATAAGATTCTGGTGACCCGACAATTCCCTGACGTCTGGAGGACAGCCATTGCTATCCCCATCCTAAAGCCAAATAAGCCTCAAGATGACCCTGCTTCGTATAGGTTTATATCGCTGACATGTTCTATGTGCAAGCTGATAGAGAAAATCCTCAATAAACGCCTGTTATGGTTTTTAGAAGAACACAAACAAATTAACAACTTACAAAATGGTTTCCGAAGCAACAGGTCTACGACAGATAACACTGTAGTACTGGAATCCACCATCAAGCAAGCATTCGCAATCAACCAAAGTGTTATGGCTGTATTCTTCGACATAGACAAAGCTTACGACACCACCTGGCGATATCTTATCATAAAATCCGCGATTGAGATGGGAATCAAAGGGCATCTCTTAGGTTGCATACAAAACTTTCTGAGTAACCGCACCACGAGGGTGAGAACCAACGGAAAGATGTCCAACGAAAGAACATTAGCAAATGGAATACCGCAGGGATCCGTGTTAAACGTCACACTTTTCTTAATAACGATAAATGAATTAATTGAACTATTTAAGACACCAGTAAAGGCACTGATGTACGCAGATGACTTAGTTATATACTTACCAACGAATAACCGACCCACAGGACAAAGCATCATACAACAATCAATCAATAAAATGGAGAGAGAGGCAGCTACATCAGGTTTTCGTTTCTCCAGCGATAAGACCAAATACCTTATATTTAGCAAATCTAGACGCACCACTGACAATATCGTACTCTCTCTGAACAGCACCAGAATTCAGAAAGTTGACAGTATAGTTTTTATTGGGATGACAGTTGATTCGAAACTGAAGTGGGATCTACATATAACAAAATTAATATCATCGTATCAAAAAAGTTTGAACCTTATTAAAGTCTTAGCAAATACCTTTTGGGGAAGTGACTTCTTATCACTAATGGGAGTATATCGCGCTATATTAAGAAGCAAAATCGACTATGGGAGTATATGCTATACAACCGCAAGTAAAAATTCTCTAAAAAAGCTTGACATTTTACAACACAAGGCAATACGACTGGCATATGGCTTACTAAGAACTTCACCGGTGGAAAGCATCCATGTCCTAGCTAATGAGCCCCCGTTACACCTTCGAAGAGAATACCAGACAATCCTGCTCACCACATTACTGCCAAGTGTTCTTCCAGAGGATTATACAGCAACTACAGAGACTGCCCAATATCAGAGCGTATTATTCGCGCCGACTTCAACCTAAACAATCTTCAGCACACGTACTCATATTCATTATATTCTTCCCCATGGACAATGCGTCTACCCGATATTAATACATAGCTTAACTGTTACACCAAAAGAGAAACCAATCATATAGTCATCCAAAATAAATACAGAGAAGTAATTGAACACTACAAAAACCATATGCTCATCTTTACCGATGCTTCGAAGTCGCGAAATGGAGTGGGATGTGTAGCAATTCAAGAAAACAACAAGAAAACAGCATCTCTCCCTCATCACAGCAGCATCTTTACCGGAGAGCAAACTGCTATCAAGTTAGCCCTAAGCATCGCATAGGCAACCCCAACAAGGAATATCCTTATTCTGTCCGACTCCATGAGTGCACTGGAAGGAATCAAGAAATTATACCCGCAACACCCTATTCTTAAATAAATTAAGCAATGTATCAACACTAACATCCAACAAAATGAAGACAGTGAAATTTCTATGGATACCGTCTCACGTAGGAATAGACGGAAATGAAGCTGCACCCTTATACAACCTCTTAAATGACTGAAGCGCCTTATTAGGTGTGCCCATTCCGCTTGTATAGCTGTTCTAAGAGGGTTCTGCCAAAGTTCTTACGGTATACAATGCTGTGTAAGGAATACTGTATAATCATTCTTGCAACTCTAATAGGAGTGATAATTGTTAGTTAGGCAGACAACTATCATATCAATTATTTCACTTATTTTTTCCCAACATTTGTGTTTTTCAATATTGTTTTTAAAACTCTTATCGCTGCCATAATATAAAGGCCTGTTGCTTTTAACAAATTCAATCAAAAATTCGTCTTTTTCTTCGATATTAACAAACTGGCACATGACGCAAGGTTAAAACACATACCAGCCATACGCTACACTGCCTTACTATTTGTAGTGTTAATTTTCCATGCATGATCGCTTTTTTGTACATTGTAGCTTCTTTTTATGTACTTTTCTCCGTCTTTCTTGCGGTAAAGTCTCTTGGGTTCTTTCCTGGAACATATTTTTAATATAACAATAATAATAATAATAATAATAATAATAATAATAATAATAATAATGATAATAATAATGATAATAATAATAATAATAATAATAATAAAAACTCGTCGTGAATAAGTAATTACAGTGAAAGGTCGCGTAACCGGCAGCTCTAATAAGCGACCACCTTCTTTAAGCGGCAAAATTTTTGGAACCGATTTTAGTCTTATATTTTAACATAGAAAGTACACTCCATTAAGCGGGCACTCTAATAAACGGACGCGGGCAGCAATTTTTGCACATAGGACGAAATAATATTTCCTATAAGCGATCGCGAAGCTCTAATAACCGAGCAAATGAAGTCTAACCATTACTTTAACATGGCCATTCGGTGATTCCCCGCGAGGTTTTGAGGGATTTACAGTATTACATGATCACAAGTTGTTGTGTTAGAGGTTAGAATTTAGAGTTAGCAGTTTAGCAGTGCTAGTCTTGTTGTTTGTGTTTTAGTTTGCACTTTTAATTTATAATAATATGCCGCCGAAAAAGCGAATGTTGACGCTAAAAGAAACGATGGAAATTGTGAATGTTATTGATAAGGAAAAATTATCAACTAGGGCTATATCATTGCGATTTAATATAGGAAAAACACAAGCGGCGTTGATTGCAAAAAATACGGAGGATATCCGACGTTTGTGGCAGTCTGGAGTAAATCAACAACAAAAAAGAAGTTTTTGTAGGACTGAAGGCTTAAACATCGATAAAGCATGTTTTGAGTGGTTCATTAGTGCTAGAAATCGAAGAATACCCATATCTGGGGGGCTTGTAAAAGAAAAAGTAAAGGAAATTGCACAAAAATTTGGTTATCCAAAGTTTAGTGCACCCGATGGGTGGGTTCAAAAGTGGCGTAAAAGAAACAATGTTAGTTTTGCATGCATTTCAGGCGATGCGGCCGATGTAAATCAAGAGACAGTCGATGCATTTATAGAGGAACCTCCTTCATTGCTTTTGGGATACCAATGTGAAGACATTTACAATACCGACGAAAGCGGGCTGTATTTTCGTGCGCTTCCGGATAAGACACTGGCATTAAAGTCTGAAAAGTGTTCTGGGAGGAAATTATCGAAAGAAAAACTAACCGTATTATCCTGTACAAGCATGACTGGACATAAACAAAAGCTGTTAGTGATTGGCAAATCTGCACGCCCTGGAGCATTGAAAAATGTAAACATTAAGGATTTACCTGTTAAGTGAAATTCAATTAAAAAAGCCTGGATGACACGCGAAATAATGGGTGAGTGGTTAGACGAGTTGGATCGAAAATGAGCATTAAAAATAGAAAAATTCTGCCATTTTTAGACAATGCTGCATCTCATCCTCGAGACTTACATCTAAAAAAGGTTAAAATTATCTTTTTGCCTTCAAACACAACAAGCATGTGCCAGCCACTGGATCAGAGCATCCTTAAAAATTTTAAGTTTTATTATCGTAATCAGATTTTAAAACATACTTTATTAAATATGTATGGTGTTAAGTCATCGTCCGAATTACCAAAAAAATTTAATGTTTTGGAGGCATTGTACTTTATAAAAACGGCATGGCAGAATGTTAATGAGACATCACTAGAAAATTGTTTCCGAAAAGCTGGGTTCAGGAAAGCTGGGCAAGAGGTTCCTCATTTTGATCCCGAGGATGACTTGCCATTATCTGTTTTCGCAACGATGGCGTTGGTCCGAGCTGCGGATGAGCTGAACATGACCAACTATCAAAATATAGATCATTATATTAGCATTGAACAAAACAATTCAACTGAAGAAGATGCTAAGCTTTAACATTAATCGTAGGACTAGGTGTTGAATCAAATCAAGAAAATTAGACGGATGACGGAATTGAGGAGATTCAAGAAGAGGTAAATAAAGTAAAAAGCTATCATGAAGCCTTAATTTATGTAAAAGAACTGAAAAACTTCGCAAAAGATGGCTATGTCGCCTTTGAACCAATTAAAAATTTGGAATGTCATTTTCAGAAATGTCGTGATGATGCAAATCAAAAAAAACTTAAGCAGGCGACTATTGTAACATTTTTTCAAACTGTTTCTAAATAAGTTTTCTGTCCTTTTGTTGTTATCTAAAAAAATTTTTTTGGCATGTCAACAACACATACGTATGTACGTATTTCATTATACATATATATATATATATGTAATTATAAATTTGTAATTTCATGTACTATGTGTACATACATGTCTTATAATAAGAATTAATTTTAATATATGTAATAATCATATTATACTTTTAAATTCATATATGTAATAGTATGTATGTACATACATATATGTATTCATGTCACTTGTAAATAAAAAACATATATTTATTAGTTTTCTTCCAAGCGGTCACCTCCAATAAGCGGGCAAAAAAGCTGGAACCATAGCTGCCCACTTATGAGAGCTATCACTGTATATCTAAAAATGTTTAGTCAGAACGGTAAACGAGTAATCATGTAATATGCTATAAATTTTTCATTTTTTCACCATAGAATTTGGGAACATGCTGATAAGATGCATTTTCACAAAAATTTTGACGCTAGGAGCCATGGGACAGTGCCAAGCTACCGATTGAATGACAAGATGAAACGCAGGAACCAGAAACTTTCGTTAAAAAAAATGTGCTCCGTATTTTGGGTGGAGATTTCTATAGTATCATAGACAATAAACAATTGGTTCTCTGTGATCCGAAGCGCCATTTTTTGAGTAAATTCGATATGCTTCACACCGAATCCAAAGTTAGTTTGACGCTAGTACCCATGGGGGCTCCCTAACGACAAAGACGTGTTTCCTATGTACACAGCGTAAATTAATGTCGGGTTCATGCACGACATAACGTAACCTAATTTAAGGATCAGCTGTTTCTACACCAGTGTCCTCCACATGTTACGCCGCCAGAGGGTAACTAGCTAGGGATTTCCCATTTTTTGACATTATTCAGGTGGTTTCGGAGCTCGTCTTACCCTTAGATAGCTCTTTCCATACGGCTTTATGCTCCTATTGACGTAATTATAATAATTCTGTGGCGTGTTGTGATCTAGGATGATTTACGGACCAAGCCAGGCGGTGAATCATTCTGTTGTTTTTGTTTGAGTTGTTGACGAATTTGCCGTAGAGATTTGTTTTGGTGTTCGTTTTCGGGTGTGTTTTTCTGTGTTGGACTTGTTTTTTGTGCGATTAATTGAGGATGGCCATGCCTAAAGCAAAAAAAACGAAAAGCCGCGCTGGTATCAACTCCTGAGCTTGTTGAAGAGGTACCTGCAGAAGTCACCTGAACGCAATCGGACATCGCCAGAGAAGCGCGTAATGATGACGTTACAGTAAGTATTCAAATCAGAACTTTTTTGCATAAATGACTGAATATATTGAGTTTATAGTCATTTTCTTAATTCAAGGTCACTTCTTAAAATAAAGTTCAATATATTCAACTTTATCTTGAGACCCAACCAATCGGATCAGTAGCGTTGGTCAGCTGATCGCTACAGCTGGAATTAGAAGATGGGTACGAACTATCGATACTGTACAAACGTCGATAGTCGATATTTAAATCGTGATGTTCGATCGATTTTATATCGCTGTATGGGCAGATGGTTCGGTGATATTTGCACTTGTAAGAAAAAAAAATGTCAACAATTATAATAAATAAAGTCAGTGGTCATGTTTACTTCATCCCGTAACAAAGTGTGTATAGTGGTAGTTTCAGCAAAACATACCAGTATTGCTACAGAATAAAGTAGATAAAAAACTAGCATGAAAAATATAAACATGGGTGCTAAATTGCCCTCTTACCAAGATAGAGGGTCTTGCAATTATATTCTAGAAAACGAAAAAAAAAAGATGGAATGGATTAAGATATAATCTTAAAATTTTGTGCTTGTAGTACTCGTACTGACGTCATAGCATTTTCATGACTGAGACTGTACCAGTGGTGACGTTGGGAAGGTACTTTGTCATTAACTACGAACCAGGTGTACACCTGGCCAATGCTGTTTATTCGTAGCCCACCAAATATGTAATCTTTTTTGATGTTTATTGAGGTAAACAGATGAGTAGCATGTAACTTATTTTTGTGACATCTGTACTGTTGGTATTAACAAGTCTTTTAAAGCCCAGGACCAAATTAAAGACTGGTGTTTGATATCACTAATGAAAATTTGTTTACACATACCTGCTTTCTCTGAATGAGAATTTTGGCAATCAAATGTATACTGCCAGATTGATAATTTATACATATGTACAGAGCAGTATCATCTAAAGGGGCGTGGTGAGATGTTTCTGTTTACTGTTAGCTGACCAAATATGACAGTGATATTAAGCCAATCATTTTTTTGTTTCACAGTGTTAACATACTTGAAGGAGACAGTTGGAATGAAGATCATCATTTATTTCATGGATGCCAATTTAATTGTCAATGACATCAGGAGTTTGTTTCCTAGTTTGAAGAAAAAATTTGTTTTTTACGTGTTTTTTATTTGTTGAGGACAATTTTGTTTGCTTTCACCCATTAGCAGTGTGTGCAAAAATTTTTTGATTCAGATATCAGAGAGGTTATATTTGTATTCCAGTCAGTCCTCTAACTACAGATGTGTTTTTTGTTATTTTAGTATTTATGTTTCCGCAGTAAATATACATGATCAATTAACAAGAGATAGTGCTTCCATGATATTGCACTGAGCAGGTTCATAATATAGAGAAAAATCCAGATGGGTAGAATACTTCTACGTATGTACAATGTACTGTAATGAAGAATTTATTCTATTATGGCTGGGACTGAACAACAAATATTTTTTTAATTATACATTTTTTTATTATCCTTAATTCACTAACAGCCAAAATGATGAAATAAATACTTCCTTTATTGAGGATGTGTTATGCATCTATGATCATCGAACTGCCTCAATATGGGGAAGGTCATGAGTCAGATTTCGTAATGTAAACGAATGAAATCGCCGACACATTCCTGACATTCCTGACAATCGTTGTCTGCATACTTTCAATACTTATAGTTCCACCAGATTTCTAGCCAAGAAAGGTGGCGCAGCCGTCGAGGTTATAGTCCAAGAAATATCTTCACATCTGCTCGAGAAAATATTCGGATTCGAATTTTTTGCATGTTATTCGAAAAAGCCTCCTTGTAACAAATCTACATGTTGTCAGGCCCCAAACTGCATCTCTAATTGTTTGCACAACTTTTTCAAATAGATTCCAAAAAAATGATGTTTTCGCTTCATTAAACGTATTATTCGTTTTTTTTATACTCCGCAACGAAACGATGTTTGTCTATAGTTGATTTTATACGAGATGGGAAAATAAAAAAAATTGCTTTTGCGACACCGAAAAACGACGATCTGAAAAAACGTAAATGTTAGTGTCACCATACTTCATAAATTACCATTAACACAATTGCGATACCTTTTAGGGGATACCGTTATTATAAACCTTTGTACTTAGTGGATAAGCAAGCGCACGCTCAATGTATATTCAGCGTGCACGAGATATATTTCAACTCTCTCTCGCGTTTACATAGACTATACATTGAGAGCGCATTCAATTTATAATTACTATGCAACTATTTACAATAACTGTACTCCCTAAAATGCTCTGGGATTTTGTTATTGGTTGGTTGAAGCGTGTGTAAGATTTAAAAACATCAAAATATTCATTTTTCATATTGTTTTTGGGGTAGCAAATGGCATTATTTTGAACTTTTACATTGCTTATATATGTCAAGTCCACAGAAAAGTTCTAAAGCTCATTTTTTGTTCCGAATGTCCTAAAAACCGCAAAATACTTCAAATAAAGCGAACAAATCAATTTTTGTAATGTGTTTATAACAATTTTTGGCGCAATTTTGGGCTTAGTCACATGCAGATTCTTTAACAGGGGTCCTTGAATCATAGTATGCAAAAATCGGAAACGGAAAATTTTTACGAGCAGATGTTCCGATATTATCTGGACTATTATCCGAGTTCTGAGATTGATTACCAGTGCATCGCCGCAAGCGTGTGGGGAGGGGCCACTTGTTAATGTCGAGGCTGGTCCGCAAGTCCACGTAGCACAAAAGCCACAAAACACTACTTCATCTGCTACATTGACGTTAAACATATGATTTTATTAGTGTGTTAAATGTTGAAATTCTCGCCATTGCTACATCGGCAATCCTGGCCAGCACATGCGCATTAAATGCTCATTTTCTTAAGTTAAGTTACGTTAAGTCTTGCATGAACCCACCATAAGAGACCAATAGTTTATTTTTACGTAAAAACGAATGCTCTTTAAATTACCACATTTGGCTTACCTAAAAGATTGTTATGTCGATACAGCAGTTGGCTACATCCACTTGTCCTAGCAAAAAGGATGTCATTTTAATCTTTACGTATTGATATTTGGATGCAATATAAAATTGCCAATCTTAAAACTGATCCTAAGTATTTTTAGTACAATTGTTGTTTCGTTTTCCCTGAAACGGTTAATGACATTTTGTATATATTGTATTAAAGAGTACGAAATGTTGGCTATAGCTTTAAGCTATTTCATCAGCGTGAGTCGGGGCAAAATATCTTCTTAGGATCAGTTTTTCTGTTTTCTACATCATTTAGAGCAGCTTGATAAACAACACACTCAGTCAGTTACTTACGTAAACGATATTTCAGTTCTGAATAATCATTTACCTTTCATCCTTATTGATATTTTCCTAAGATGTCTTGCAACTGAGCATCTATTTTTACAATATGCTCCATTTTATTTTTCTGAAACAGTTGTTATACTGACTATTTCTACTCAAAATATATTTACCAGGATATTTTTTAACAGCACAACGTGATCTATCACTACATGAGTTTCCTTTAAGATTGGCGAGTTGTCAAATTTCATGTTTGTGCCTTGTACATTGAGCTTCATTAGATAATCAGATTTAGGTCATCTCTATGAATCAAACTGTCTGATTTGTATCGTTAAACTTATAATTTATATCTGTCGTTCAATATCGGAACGTAAGCGATATGCCAAATTTAATTAAACCGATCAAAATATTAATTAGGCCAAAACAGCTAACCAGATTAATTGGCTTTATTGAACTCCAATTTATAAAATAGTTTACTTAAGTCTAGGAAACTAGCTTAATTAAAACAAAACGCAAGCGTTTACATTTATTAAGCCGTTGACTTAGATTAACTATACCAATCTTTCAAAATTAATGAGCTATTAAAACGAGTGTATTTGCTCCAAGTAAAATAATTTAATTATATTTATTTAACTTGTCTAATCCGTTTAGGTAAAAGTGTTTGCTTCTGAAATATTTTATTTAGATTTGAAAAGGTGTTTGGATAATATTTTTAGTGTGAAATAACGCATTGCATTTTACTGAGTGATGTATATTATAACTGTGCTCTGACAAATTTTAGATACTGAAAAACTGGAAAAACTTGATATCAAACTACTGTTGCTTACGGAGCTGACAAAATTTCGATTAATTATACTGTGTCGTTCAATAGGTACCTAAGAAAAACCGATTTCCAGCCACTTTTTACTTTCTACATCATCTCAAATATTTATTATGTTTGCAAACAAACAAAACTTAGCTGATCATTATTTTCAAAAGTGCTTACCTGGCATATTTCCTAAACAGGTTGATTCAACTTCTATTAGTTAGTCAATCTTCTGAATCTAGAGCTTATATGAACTCTCCGTTAGATTCCCATAGATGTTCAATATTTGTATTTCTATTTATCGTATTCAACAGCTATCTCTTACCTGAAATCTTGGAAATGGCACAATAGATGATTTTTTAAAGAGTGATCTGTAACACTGGCGAAGCTTTTACCACTTGGCGGTATAAGGAGCCTTAAAGACTTATAACGTGTTGGATAGTCGTGCAGCAACAGGCTGCTCATAAGTATCCCTACACGATGACGAATATGGTTCATAATAAAACATCAGGATACGCTTGACCCCTTACAATAACCCGCTCAAAATGTTTTTCTGAAAATGAGCGGTAGACACTGAAACGAACGATTTTTATTATTTTAGCAGTAAGGTTGTGACAAAACTTCATCAAAATCCGACAGGTGCTTCCTGAGTTATACAGGGACCAATGATTAGCGGACAAACAGACAAACCGACGGAAATGGGTGAGATGGTTTTTGAATATGTACATGTCATATAACATAAAAAACAGAATCTCTCAATTTCGTAATTTGGCAAAACATAAAATCCACTCAAACATATTCCTGAGTATACAAAACCTTCACTGAGTGAGAATATCTACAAAAATTCTTATTCAAAATATCAAAATATATCTTACATATGATACAGGACAGTTCATCAATTTTCCAGTTTTATTCCTTATTTCGTTGTTTCCGTCTCTCCATTTCTTTGTCAACCTAAAACGTGCAGTATTTGTATTTTTGTAAGATAAAAAGGCTATTGTCAATTTTATACCTATTATCGCTTATTTGCTCTTGCTATCAATCGCCCATTCACTTTGCAGAGCCCAATCGACTCTTTTCTAGGCAGGATACCTAGGATGCGCTCACTAAATTAGTTTTCATATTTTAAATAAACATCAATCTTGAAAACATACCATTTCCAAAGAAACACTATAAAGAGCTCCAATCTATCTGGGCAAGTTCACATATTTCCAGAATAGAATCGAAGTACTAATAAATAACAAGTCATATTTGAATGCATTTTCAACTCAAAATCAATCTTAAAACATACAATCCAAAGAAGCAGTATAAGGGGCTTCGATCTATCTGCGCAAGTTGACATATTTCCAGATTAGGATAGAAGGACTAATAATAAATCATATTTGAATACATTTTATGACTGTTTATTGTAAGCCCCAAGCTATACAGTTGACAGGTGGTGTTTCACTATGCGCGCATCAAAACTCAAAAGTATGTTTATCCCAAGGGATCAGAATAAGAATTTTTATTACAATAAGAGACAACGTCGGAACTAGGTGTCTTTTGTCCCCTCTTGAAACGAACATAAACTAGTGAAAACTATGGCGATGCAAGTTCGTAGCAGCATATGCGGCCTTAGGAATTCTCAGCGGAAGTTAACTTTTGTGTGAAAGCAATACTACCTCCAAAACTTCCTGAAGCACGAGGAAGAGCATATTTTCTCAGGCAGCCAACTCCTAAAGAGCTCCAAAATTGTACACAAAGAGATAGTAAAGTATGCAAATCTTAATTGTATGAGTCTGTTTGAATAACTTGATCCCCTTAATGTTTTTTCTCGGAGGGGCCAACTTGTGCAGAACATAATACTTTACGAACCCATTTTCAAAGAAACACTGTAAAGAGCTCCGATCTATCTGGGCAAGTTTACATATTTCCAGAATAGAATCGAAGTACGAATAGTAAGTCATATTTGAATACCTTTTCAATACAATATCAATCTTAAAATATACAGTTACCAAGCAGCTTCTAGACAGTAAATGTACTTACTACGGGAAGATCGACTACACAGTGCTTTTCAAAATGGACCCTTCTTTCGCTAACTTTGCAGCCTTTTCTCATTCTCTTTTCAATCTTCATTTTAGTCCTTCATCATTCTTTCACTTCGAAAAAAAATCTTCATTTTTGACACCCCACAATGAGCCCTGCCGATCTGCCGTTCGCTTTGCAAAAACCAATCTAACCTAAAATAAGATATTATGTATTTTGGATATCATAGTCGTATGGCATGTACATCATGAAGAACCATTTCGTTCATTTCCGTCGGTCTGTCGGCTAATCTTATAACCGCCTATAACTTGAGAAGTACCGCTCGGTTTTTAATGGGATTTTAAAACAATGTTGCTACACTGCCAAGGACGCAAAGGCTAGTTTTTGAAAATCGACCAAGTGGCAGCAGAGAAAGAGGCCAAAAACAAAAAGGATTATTTATTATTATTACATGTTTCAGACGAACAAAATTTAGAACAAACAGTCGATTCTATTCTAACGCTGTTTCCATTTTCAGTTCGTTTCTCACACAAATGTTCACAGTGGACTGACTTGTACATCTAATTGCCTCCTGTGTACATCCTAAGGTCGGTGAAACTTATCTTCTAATGATGTTGACGATTCTCAGTTCGGAGACTGTGTCACTAAAATGTTGATGTACTATATAAGTTGCAACTGTAGTCATACATCCAGATATAACGCCTTTACCAAAATTGGCGAGCCTAAACATTCATGTTTGTACAACAACGACAAAATATTACAACAAACGTACCTCTTCGGTATTTCGTCTTCTATCGTTATCTAAACTCACAGAATGTGGTACCTTGAAGCGGCATTTAAGATCGTGCATATAGTAGCAACTATCCAAGATACAAACAATCAGTCATATCATAAGCTGGTGCGACTATCGTTCTCCAGAGAAGCAATCCTATATTCTATAGCGTCATTGAATTTCTTGGCTTCGAAGGGTCTCTCACGGAGTATGGTACCAAGAAGCTGTAACACGTTTCCCTCTGGTTTGAAGACTGTTTCTCACAGCTTCTGCTATGCAGGAGGTACAACTAAGTATATCGAGTTACAACATTCTGATACGCAAAGATCGGTTAGGCTAGGTATAACAGCAATGAAGGATCACAAAAGAAATATATTTGGAACTAGTATAATCTATATTTCATAATTCAAAGACCGTGCCTCACCGAATGTGGCTCACAAAAGTGGCAACTAAAATTATTCATATAGTTGCACCACACCTCAATAAGACTGCATAATAACTAACGTTGTCGAGAAAAAGATGTTTTCATCCTTCATTTCGGTGAGTATTTCATAGACTATGGTACACATATATTGCAGCCAGGCTTATGCATCAAAATTCTGAGTACCAAAAGCCGGTGAAACTGAGTATTTCTCTGTTAAAGTTATAATGGATTACTAAAGACATACAACCCTTCGATGTTTCTCTTTTATCGTTACCTACATTTTTCACTTCGGAGACTGCGTTTCTCAGATTCATGTACACAGAAGGTGCAACTTAAGTCATCGATCCTAGTAGGACCGACCTGTGTTCGAAATCCGGTGAGACTGCGTTGCAGGTATCAAGAAGTATCAAATAAATTGTGAAATTTTCGCTTATATCTTATCTACATTTCCCAACTGGAAGACTTCATCTCACAAATTCCAGTACACAGAAGTTGCATCTCGAGGCATTTATATAAGCTACAAAAATCTGTACCCCAAAATCGGTTAGACCGAACCTGAATGATAAAAACAGATATCAATATTATTTCTGCTATTGTCATCTACATTGTTCAGTTCGGACTGAATCTTACACATTGTAGTGTACATAAACTACCAATAAAGTCACTTCTATATATAAGTTTTGGTATTTTGTATCCCAGAATCGGCCAGCTGAACATGAAATATTATCAAAGAAACAGACGTTTTCAATATTTTCTTTTCTATCGTTGTAATGCATTTTTCGATTTGGAGACAGAATTTCACAAATTGTCGGACACCAAAAGTGCAACTTTAGTCAAAAGTATAAGCTAGATCATCCTGTCTCCGAAATTCGGTACGACTGTGCGCAGGGATGGAGAATTTTCAAAGATATAGACCTTTTCGACATTTACTCTTATCTACCTTATGATATTTCGACTCTCCAATTTTGAGATTGTAAGTCTCATATTCTGGTGCATTGAAGTTGCAATTGATGTCAGGAATCCCAGTCACAAGGGGTGAGATCGAACATGAAAAATTGTTATAGAAGCAGATGATTTGTCAGATCGGAGACTGTAATCAGCGACTACAAAATTTGGATGGTGGTTATTTTGGCAGCTAAAAGATAGCAAAGATGTCTAAAATAGTACCTCAAATTCGTTGAAGTAACGAGCCCAATTTTTATATTTCTTTCAGAACGGTATTAGAAATGACCTCATCCATTGCCAGGCACTTAGTACACTTTCAAACCCTGCCAGATACCCATGAAACTTTAATAAATTTTGGAGTTTAACTTTCGTCATCGTATAAAAGCTGAAATTCATATGTTACGTGGGGGACTATCAAAAGATGTTATCCCACTAGCAGGCAGCTTTAATGGTTATGCCTGACACATTACAAGTCTGCCGTAGCTGCGACCGCGAGGCGGTATATATTCAAGTGATTGCGACTGAGATAGTGAGCTTGGTCTACTGCGATCTATGACTGTGTTGAGTGTTGTTTATACTATTGATACAGTTGACCCGGTTTGTCAAAAAATGGTCAATGGTCTGTCAACTACGACATATGAAATATGACAAATACCAGTTTTATTAGTTTGAAGGGGCCCAGCTACCAAATTATTTTACTAATTCTATAAAAACCTTAACAGGTATCTAATTATCACGTTTAATTATTATTCATAAAATATTATTCATAATTGTACCAGCTTAGTCAAATTGTTACAGAAACTGACGGAGAACGCGATATCGACATCGATAGTAGTGACGAAGATAGTGAAGACATTCACGACAAAGGTAAGAATCATCAAATATTTTTCTATAACCAATAAAACTTTTTTTTACCTTATAATATTATAATATTAGCTACTGTTTATAATTTAGCTATGAATTTTTTTCAATATATTTCTTACTACAAACAATACTGTCAATGGCGTACTTAGAGGGGGGCGATCTGCCCTTCATAGACCCCCAAGTCTGCCATCCATCCCAGATGGTAAATCCTCCGGGCGACAAACATACTAAACATGAATGCTGTGACTGCCACTGCGACCCCCCCTCCACGCTTAGACAGACCCCAAAATCTGCTCTTGAATCCTCTGTTCCCTCTTCCCTCCCTAGTTCCTTCCAATAGTAAACAACTAAACTTTTCGAAAAAGTTAACAAGAGCCCAAAATGCGATGGATTCATTATATCTATAAAATTTTTCTATTGCTTTAGGGATAAAAAGTTTGTTAGATATTCTTTTCAAAATTGATTATCTAGTCATAAATAATATGCTACGATATTTTCTGGTATAAACAAAAACACTGTTCCACGTATGAAATTCAGTAAATCAAAGATGCGTACTAAAAGTTCACAATATGCCAAATAATATTTTACTCGTATCCCCTTGAATACTTGTATATCATATATTGCCTGGGGCTCACCCTAACGGCAGACTTGCAATCTGTCTGGCCCAATGTCAAAGGCATACCCAAATAAAAGCTGAAAGGGGGGCACCTACAAAAAAAATTTGGTGGATGTTCCACGAATCATATCTACATAACTATCTTTGATATTTCACTTACTATTTGCATTTTATTTTATAGAGCCTTCAACGACGATTTGAAATTTCATATGGATATAGAAAACTACTAGGACTACTTTTCTGAAACTTTCAAGCAAATATTGTATGAAACGCTTTTTTAAGTGATGATCTTGTCAATTGCAATACTTAAAATACCTGAGATATATATAGGCAAAAATAGTTAATTTATATAGTATGTTTAAGGATGTGTACCTAGTTTATTCTTGAATGATTTGAAAAACAAATTTGCCATATTTTCACCATTATGAAACAGTAAGAGATACTGGTATATATTTTTCCAGTATCTCCAGATACCCGGAGAAGGTAAATAATTTTCCCAAAATCGTTTCTAGTTTTTTCTGAATTTATTTGAGAAATAATCTAAAAGTAAATTGCACATTGACATTGCCACTTTTCGATTTTTGCAAGGTGAAATAAATAGAACATTAATATAATATTTTGTCTCTTATCCTTCCTCTCAACATTGACTTTTCTCATGTATGCCATTTTTGCATATGCATATCCATTATTATGAACATTTTATTTTCTTGAGTAAGCCTTGAAAATTGTCATCTTTTTCGTAGAATTTCAAAGATGACAGCATGTTACGTATATATATAACTTGAGACGTGGTCATTGTCGTCTAGAACAGTTAGGTGAAAAACTATAGCTACCGCCTTTTGTTGTTTACTTCGTTGTATGTTAAATCAATTTCCTTCTTTTGTTCATTACCCCTAAAGTGTTTAATTTTTCCAATTAAATTAATAATAATTTCGCAAGTTAGACGATAGAATGGTTTTTATTTTTTCTCTCAAAAATGGCACATCGAAGGAAAGCAACTCAAGAGAGATCATTTGTTTTGAATTGAACGAGGATTTCTATAATAATATCTATTTGGCAAAAAACTATTGGCGTACCATTTTTTTCTTAACAAATATCGAAGTCAATACCCGTACGCATGCTACTGTTAAAGCTAAAAAATATGTATCTTTCACTACGTACTAAATATCAGTGAAATATCTGAAGTGGTTCTGATAATATTAACTAATTTCCATTTTTTTTCCTAAACTTCAACACCCCGAGTTTTTGTAAGGAAACATTTTTGGACCATAGTTTATAAAGCAAACTAACATTATTCTTCATGCACACCCTTAAATATTCGCGTATCATTAAGGAACACCCTGTATATATATAGAATATATATATATATATATATATATATATATATATATATATATATATATATATATATATATATATATGATACTATACGATATATTTGCTGATTGTCCGCCAGGTGAAAATGAAAC